TATGGGGTTCAGGTCAGACGAGTTTGCTGGCCAATCAAGCACAGTAATCCAACAGTCATTGAACCAGGTTTTGGTGTGGGCAGCTGGAAAATGAAGTCAGCATCCACATAAATCTTGTCTGCAGAAGGAAGCATGAAGTGCTCCAAAATCTCCTGGTAGACTGCTGCGTTGACCCTGGTCTTAAGGAAGCACAGTGATCCAAACTCTTGTTATATAATAAAAGTATGCAGTCTTGTTTGTGCCTTTGATAAGTTCTTTTGAGAAATAGTTGATGCAAGAATACTGAGTGAGGAGAGCTTTCCCTTAATTTTTCATAAACTGTTCTCTACTGTCAAAACCTGTTTGTATTGCGCTGACGTTTGTAGTGTAAAATCCTTATAATTGTTGGAGACAATGCAGACATTTCCTTTGTTTCTTTCTTTAAAGATTTTTGGATTGCATGTTAGTGAGTCATTCTCCTACTTCATTATTGAATTACTGCTTGATAGAATAAAATAAACAATTTTTGTCATGTCCCGTTTCCCCAACTTTTCATTATTAAAGGTTAGCTGGTCTCCAGAGGGAAAATGATATATTTTGACTATTACTGTTCCCAGCTTCAAATGCTTCTTTAAGGTTTAAGGTCATGGGTACAACAGCGCATGGAGATGGCACCCAAAGTCATTTTTAAAACTTATTCTCATTGTTTTTTCCTTGTTTTTTCCCCTCCGGCCACAGGAATTGTACCCTGCTTTTTGCATTCACAACGGAGGCTCTGATTTGGAGCGATTGCCCACCGCCAGTACCTGTATGAATTTGTTGAAACTTCCAGAATTCTGTGACGAACACCTTATGCGGAGCAAGCTGCTTTATGCGATTGAATGTGCTGCTGGATTTGAGCTGAGTTGAATTGATGCTGTGATTGAATGCTTTGCAGAGGAAGTAATCAGTGCCTATTCCTTAAGCCACACACACATACACATATCTAGCAGATTAAGGGAGGTCCATGTAAATGTTTGCAACTCATTTTCCCATTGAATTGTCCTCGAGTAGGTTTCCGTTTTAATGTGAGGCATTAACCGGCTGTCATTTTTTGGGAGTTTAAACCCCACTGAGATTTTTCTGGATCGGATTCAAAAAGAAGCAGTTGCTAAGCTTTCCAAGAGAGAGAGAGCACCTTTGGGACAATGACATCTTGGAGAAAATAACCAAAGATGGAGGCTTTGTGCTGTTTGAACACAAATAATTCCACTAAGTGGCAATATGTTGATGCAAGTATACTGCAGAGTAGTCGATGGGGAAGAAACAGGGTGATATTCCTGGAGAGGGAAAAGAACCGTTTGAAAACTGGCCTGCAACTCAAGTAACCCCGCCTCTTTTGAAGAGGCAGAAATTGTTTACCATTTTTCCCAATTTATTTGCAAGTGAAAAAGAATAATTTTGTTCTATTAGGTGAAAGTGAGACACTGAGAAATTTATTTTGGCCTTTAAAAAAAAAAGATGTTTACCTTCCTGAATAAGTATGCCTATTCTTCATTATCTTAGCCAGTGTCACAATCCATTGCACACTGTTTCAAATAATGTAATTGTTTTTTTCCTGATCTGTTCCATTGTTTCTCCGAGCCTGTAGCTTTAAAAAATCATATTACTTTAACATATACTATAAATAAAATGGTTATGACAGTAGAAAAGGAATTTGTGTAACAACTATTAAAATAAATTTGTAAAAAAGAATCAGGCTTCCTTCTTTTTAGCTAAAAGCCTGCAGGTGTTTTCTCTTTCATTTACTCTACCTGGAATGCAATTGGTGAAAAATGTTTTATTTGCTCTATCAATAGGATAGAGAATGAGGGGGTGGGGATACTTGATTGTATTTGATTGCCAAAAGAAATACTTAAGGTAAAAAGAAATAATTCAGAACTGATAATCACACGTAATCAATCTTTGTCATGTGCAATTGTCACTTTTTTTAAAAAAATGATACAATTGGGTCCCTAAAGCATTAACTGGCAGAATCAAGTATGTCCTTTTGGGGCAGTGAAAGAGACTTTGGAACTATTGAGTTGGGGGGGACCCTCAGCTGATGATCTCCAAACTTAAAAGCAATTTTACTGCTGAAGACGCTCCTAACTTTAATTATTAATCAGCAGTAAACAGCAATATATTTTAAATGTGCAGAAGGGGTCTGAATGGTTTGAAGATGTTTGCTAGTATTAGTATAAAAATGTATAATTTCATGACTTGGATACAAAATGAAGTGTTAAAAATGCTATTTGTAGTTTCCTTGTACAGAAATAAAACAATTTTCTTTTTTTGTTTTGTTCCAAGCTGCTTCATTTATGTTAACTGTAACAGTTCTATTTTGTTCACAATTGTCTTTTTTCATTTAAATACATAAAGTATATATTAAAATAATCCTTTTCTAAAATACCTTGCAATATCTGACAAGAAAACTGAACATTTAAAAATATTATTTTATAATCCACAGCATTAAATATTTTAAAGCTTTTTTTCAGAACTGTGTTCCTCTGTTGGTTTAAAATTATTCTGTTAATTGAAAATATAAATTAAACACTTATATTGTGCAGTGCAATTTATTATAGAAATTCAATTGAATTAGAAGCAAAGGATGAAATTAAGTTGGGAAGGCAGAAAACATACATCTGGCTGAAATTAAGTTGGGAAACATCTAGCCGAAATTAAATTGGGAAGGTGAGAAACATCTGTAATCTGGTTTAGTTGGAGTTACATTGGATGTATCAACTAATATTTATCACTTTTCTGTACTTAACATGTACTTAACATGCAGAACTTGTATTTTTGAAAACTCATTAGCAGTCTGATCTAGGCTATGAAGAGATATTTCCAGAAAAAAAAACTAAAAACATTTTTAGAGATATTAAATGAGTTGGAAGAATTTTCTGTAATCTGGTTTATTTGGGGTTTGTTTACTTGCAGGATGAATTTCAGTTTATTGGGCCTCAGTGCAGCTGACCTTAGAATGTAATTAACATGTTTGTAGTGCTGTAATTACACAAATAACACAACCTGACCCAAATGATGTAGTTTGCATTCTTTGTGCATTGATTTATTTCAGTGATTTTTGTCATTTATCTGACCAACTTAAAAGTGAAGATTAAACAGGAGTGTAGGACAGTTGGATAGTACAAAAATGTTGAACAGTACAACACAGTGCCATTTCTTGCCAAAGACAACTCTTTATATATAATTTTTTGAAGGAAAAAAGGCTGCAAACTATACCGAGGACATCTTTAGAAAGCAGCCTCTGCTGCTTAAACAATCACCCACCCTCAACCCTACAAAGGAAGTGAAGAAGGTTAGCACTGACCCCTCTTAGAAGAATGAAATATTCTAGGAAATATTAAAAAGACAGGACATTATGTTTCCTTAGATGAGAAAAAGAGAAACATGTTTTAAAGACAAAACAGCTCCCTGCTTCCCACTTCAGCTCCAGGGTGATAAGATTAAGAGATGGTCCTCAGGACATGATAGGATTATCCCTCTATATCCATCTAACCAGGGATTTTGCATTGCGGAATCACCTAGGGCTATATGGCGAATTTATGACACATGTACCAGAGATGGAATGCAGAGCCCTCTCTGGGCATGTGCGCCATCACCAGCTGCTATTCTGGTGTGCACCATCCAGCTGGTCTTTGCGGGCACTGGAAAACTGCCCCCAAAACAGCCAACCACATCGGCCAGCTGGTCTTCAGGTTTCCAGCGCACTCACGCACACAAATGCATGTGTGTTCTAGTTTGGGCACTTGGTGCTGAAAAGGTTCACCATCACTGACCTAGGGATATTACATCAGTCCACAGTTCAACCAGACTTCGACAAACTCCTAGGATTTGCACATGACCCCTACAGCAACTAACAGGATACCTGCTCTTAAACAGGAACAGGAAGCTCTAAGGCAGGGCTCAAGAGAGGATCGATCTACCTCCCTCCTTGTGTTCAGCTACCCGCAAACCCTCGTGGCCCTGTCCATCATTAAATATCTCTCCAAGCAGCCTCTATGTTTCCAGTGTCCGTCCCTCCTTGGAACTGAGCCTAGATGGACATTTCTTCCAACAGAAGCAAGGGCAAACCCTAGAAAGCTGCAGGGGTTAGTTGAGGCAGTCGTGAATCAATCCGGGCTTAAAATGCACACAAAATCAATAAAACACACACACACACACACACACACACACCATACACGCGCGCACACACACACATTCCCCTTCTGGGCTTGTCACCATCCTTTCCGGGGAAGATGCTATTTTCGAGGCAGCCAGTAGGTGGCACGCGCAGCAACTTTTCCCAAGAGGAGGCGGTAGTGGGGGGAGCGTAAACGTTCGGACGACTTATTCTAGAACCTTCCGGAACGTCGAGCCGTCGTGACGGAATTCCTCGGTGGGTGCCTCCCTCCCCTTTCCCGGAAGTAGGTTACATAGAGACGCGCAGGTTAGAATGATTCGCCCCATGACTTCAAGGGAATTTCCGGATCCAAAGTCACTCTTGCTTCCCCCCCCTCCCCCACAAACTCCTTTGTTTCCGTCTTCCCTAGCTTAGCCAATTGGAGGAGGAAGTGAAACCGGAGAGAAATCCAGGTTTGCTCACATCTGTGACCGGGGAAGACCCAGTAAACAAGTTCCGGTCTAGAACGGCGCGCACCTTTCTAATTTAAGCCCTTCCTTTCTGTGGTGCGTGGAATCCTAGCGGCAGAGCGAGGTAGCGGCCCTCCTCGCTCCTAATAGGCCTAAGCCTCCTCGGAGGAAGGAGGCTGTTATTCACGTCTTCCCGGCCGGAAGGAGGCCTTTCTCAGTTGACTTTCGAGACGCCACTCGCAGCACACTTTGAGCTGACGCCTCGGGCCTCTTTTTTCGGGAGTTTCCCCGGAAAAGGGGTGGGAACGCTTATCCCGGAAGTCTGTGTGTATATAAACGCATAACACCTCTTCAGATTTTGTTCTTTTTACTCGCTCTATAAACGTGCGGAACAATAAACGACGCGGGTTTTTCCCCTTCCTGCGCGTGACGCACTTCCTGTTTGCGGCCCTGCCAGAAGCTTGTGGAAGTCCTCCTGCTTCTGTTGCTGCTGCTACCACCACCACCACCACCACCACCAAAGCGGGAAGGCAGCCGAGAAAGAAGAAGAAGAGACAGGAGTGCGGCTGTCTAAGGGGGAGCGAGCGGGTGAGGCGGCCAAAGGCGGGAAAAACAGTTACGGGTCATCAGCAATTTAACGCGCGCACGGGGGGGGGAGATCGAAGGGGTGGCGACGGCACCACAGAGAAATTGGGGGGGGGGGAGGTTTCCCCCTCAGCAACGGGTTTTACGCTCCCCTCCACACCCCGCCCTTTTTTCTTTGGCTCGTGCTTCCTCTGATTGGCCAAAGCGTGCCGCGCGCTGTAGAAAAGGAGGGGAGTGGTCGCCTGCAATACGGGGGGGGGGGTTGGGGGCGTTGGATTAATGACATCCCGCCCTGTTCCCTACTTACTGTCTTCGGTGGGGAAAACTTGGAGGAGGCCTCCTTCATCTTGGATGCTGCCTGAGCTCCAGTTCTCCTTTTTCTTGCCGTTCTCTCCATTCTCTTCTCCGCGGAGTCGCCTTTTGTCTCGGGGTGGGGTGGGGGCTAAATCTGGGAGAAGACAACGAGGGCTCCATAGAAGCACAAAAGGGCCCCCCTTGCAGGTGGGAAGAGTCCGCCACAGCAGAGTTTTCCCAACTAGGGTGCCTCTAATAGACGGGCGGGCTTGGACTGGAGAACGCTTCATCCGACCTGTGGTGGGAAATTCTGGGATTAAAGTTTAAAGGTGCCAAGATTGAGGGGGGGGGGGAATTAGGAAAATTAGGGCGATTGGCAAAGGATGACCATGAAGAATAATTAAAATGCCAGTATAACAACCTATGGTGAATTAATTAGAAATATATAATATTTCTAATATATATATATTCTTATAATTTATANTGGTGAATTAATTAGAAATATATAATATTTCTAATATATATATATTCTTATAATTTATATTATATATTTCTAATTAATTCACCATAGGTTGTTATACTGGCATTTATATTATAAAATATATATTATTATATCATATTAATAAGCACTTACTAATAAATGTTGGAACATTTGCTTGCTGGAGAATTTTGGGAGTTGAAGTCCACTCATCTTAAAACATGCATAGGTTGGGAAACATCGCTTCAGGATCATCTTTTATAAATGAGGGAACTGTATCTTATTTCAAGGGAAAGATGTTGAGATAGATAAAATCATGCATAGTATCCATTCTTGGGGTAAGAGATATTTTTTATTTCAACTGCTTTGTTTTTAAATGAAGTACTTCACCTTGGGGGTAATGTGAATGGAAAGTTTGTATGGCACAGGCAGCTAAGCTCAGTAGCACAACAAGGATTCAATGCTGTTGCAACAAGATAATGTGATTGTGTGTGGAATTTATTGCTGATAGCATTGTTTCTGTTCTGTGTATTGCCCAATGAAGTGGAGGAAGGGAACTAGCCAGGTTTAGTTTTTGTTCTTTGTCGTGAAATATTTTATTGTTATAAGGCTTACTGCCAGAAATGATTTGTCTCTTCTGAATTGGACTATTGATGATAGTCTCCTCCCCACAAAGCAGCAAATGGTTTTAGCTGAAATGAGAACTAATTTTGCATCAGATGTTTCACACATCATGCATATAATTATTAAAAGTAATATTACATGGAATGTGTCTTTTAAAATTTCAGTGATAGAAATTAAAAGAATAGCTGGCCATTAAAATTTCCTCGAGGTAGGGAGGAAACATTTTGTAGACAGGGTTTAAAAGAGTTTTACTGCTATGTTTGTTTTATAGATAACATATTTCACCTAACACTACCATTTTCTTAGTAAATCTGTTAGAAAAAAATAGTTTTTGACTTACTATCACAATTGAGGCAATTTTTTTGTTGCTAAGTGAAACATTTGTTAAGTGAATTTTGCCCCATTTTAGGATCTTTCTTGCCACAGTTAAGTGAATCACTGCAGTTGTTAAATTAGTATCACACTTATTAAGTCACCTCAAGACTGGACTACTGTAACGCGCTCTACATGGGGCTGCCCTTGAAGAGTCTTCAAAGACTTCAGCTTGTCCAGAACGCAGCCGCGCGAGCGATCGTGGGTGCACCTCGGTACACCCACGTTACTTGAGAGACCACCTCCTGCCAGTCATCTCCCAAAGACCTATCAGATCCCACAGACTAGGTCTCCTCCGAATTCCATCTGCCGCCCAATGTCGGCT